CCACTGAACGTCTCACGCAACCCATCAATGCAGCTACGCGGGATGCGTGTGCCACACAGTGCAAAGGAGTCGCTGAATGTGAAGGGATGGTTTGTCACGGTTAAATGGAGCTTGCAGGTTCCCTGTTCTGACGTTGGCATGAATGTGAAAAGGTCCGGAGTGGTGGTCATGGAAGAGAAATCGGATCTGAGAGTCAGGCTCAGGAGCCACAGGCTACATCAGTCACAGGACATGCTTCGTCTGTTCGAGTCCACCTCTAACAGTACCAACAGGATTACGATATACCAGACGAACGGTTACAACAGTTCTCGATGACAATTATAAAGTGCTGGAGTGCAGAGATAAAAAGCAGAAAGAACTGGTTGATTGTTTGGCGAATCGTCAACCCGAAGATGACTATTGTGCTTTCTAAGGCCTCGGACATTTCCTAAGGCAGTGCCAGGAAACTTTTTTTCACGTAGCTTGATACAGGCTATCGCGGCTTCTTCTCTGTCAGTCCTGCCTGTGGTCTCCGTATAGGTGGTGACCTTCTAGGGGTAGTAGCGACCCTTACGTTGGGTCAACTACACCCCAGATCTTGAGCTTTTGGACTGATGATCCCCTTTTCTTCGCGGACATGTGAGTCGTCTGCGGTGATGTTGTAAGTCATCTCGTTTCACGAGAGGGCTGGCCAGTTGATATTGACAAGTTTATCTATGGATGTCGTATTTGGTCATTTGTGAGGAGTAGATGGGATGCAGAAACAGGGCATTTTACTTCAGGTTGTCCATTCGCTGGCAGTATGCCGGCATAAACAACCCACGTCGCGAAATAGAAAATACAGAAGCAATCCAAGTAATGCGAAAGATAAATGCTTCAGAGTCCTGATGTCAGACATAACAAAATATAGTGGGCTATTATATGGAGAGGGACCTCAAAAGATCAAGCACTACACATAGAAGGTGATATTAGGATGGAGATTGTCAAAAGGTACATGGTGATGGGTTACTGTGTACTTAAGCCGGTACTAGTGTACTGCCTTCCTTAAACAGTCGTTTTGGCTGAAATGGTTAGTTTCAAGTTGAATTTTATTGAGGTCTGCGGCGAACTATGGAGAAGTAAAGATATATATGTAGTCGACGCCAGATGATGAATTCAACAACTATGTGAGAACACGTGTAGTAACTTATTGGTAATAAGCAAGCAAGAACATTGTAGCATTCAGAAGGCATTGATGGGAAGGCTTAGAATGAGTATGTGAAAGTTATAAGTAGTATGGGGTAATGGGTTGGATATCCTGTCATGTTCTTGTTTCCGCGCAGTAAAATATTTTCTGCCCAGCGGTAGCTGATATTACCTAAATGAAAGAAATTTTCCATCAGCGAATCAGTTAGTCTACTGGTTAGCAACAGCATCATTGGTCTAGTGGTAGAATTCATCGTTGCCATCGATGAGGCCCGTGTTCGATTCACGGATGATGCACTATGTTTTTTTTCTTTCTTTTTGTTTTCTTCTGCTTTGCTGATCACAATTAGTGCCATCTACCCCTCATATCCGCCTCACTTTACTCCACTTCCTTCCACTTCCTTGCTTACTGCCTGATCGGGATCAGATCATCCTTCGTGTTCGTGGTTAAGACCATCCAGGTCTGCAGTTAACATGTCTATTCGACACTTCCACTTTCTTGCTACTTCTGTGCCATTCGGGATTTGGACCTCGGATTTTCGCCACCATGGTACCTGGTTGCTGCAGGTAGTACACCTCACTAGGCATTAGCTCTTTCAGCTGAAGACAATTACAGGGATCGGTGACTCCCCGTAGCTACGATCGCCGACCCGCCGGGATTGGTCCCACCGCCCTGTTTGCTTATCGCCGACGGCTGAAGCGGAGGTTGGGCCAATGGACAACAATCTCCCCAACTAGCTACCATTAGCTACCATTATAGTTGCAGCTAATAGATTAAAAGCAGAGACTTTCGGAATTGCTCCTTCGTGCGGAGACCAGCTGAGATAACAATCAGACCCGCATGGACCTGCCCCATCGGTGCCTTTCTTATCCGTCACGTCCGACCTCGGCAGCCCAGTTCCCTGTACTATTTATTCATGTCTCTCGCTTTTGCTTGCTAGCTAGCTAGCAGGCACGGTAGGCCATTGAGAGGCACTCACTATGCAGCTCTCGTTGTTGGCTCTTCTTGGAGCGTTTGCGCTGCCTAGCGCGGCTGTTCCCCATGCGCGCGATGACGGACAATGCAAGCAGACCACGGTTGCTATTCTGTATGACTACCATCGGGTGTGAAGTGCGATCCAAGCTAACCTCAACAGTGGTGGAGGAATGGCTGGTATTGCTGCTGCCGTATGTCAATCCCTTTGTCGCTTCAGAAGAAAATCCATATGCTCACACGTTACCAGCAAACGCTGCACAATGCCTCCATGGAAGACTTCATGATCCTCGAATACCGCGACACCATTGGCGGTCGCGCCTGGCATAAGCCCTTCGGCCAGGACAAAGATGGTAACCCGTACATCATTGAGATGGGTTGCAACTGGGTATGTCATTCATTGAATCCGGCATTGGGCACTGCTAACAACCACAGGTCCAAGGACTCGGCACTCCTGGGGGTCCGCAGAACCCCGTCTGGACACTGGTAAGCCTCCAACCTTCACCACCACACCACTAATCTAACCCTCAAAAGGCCCAAGTCTACAACCTCTCCACCATCTACTCCAACTACAGCAACGTGTCGACCTACAACCAGTACGGCTACAAGGACTTCTCCCAGCTGATCGACATCTGGGACGACATCTACGACACCGCCGCCGCCCAAGCCGGTGTCATGCTCCTCGACAACTTGCAGGACCAGACCGCCAAAACCGGATTGGCCCTGGCCGGCTGGCGCCCTAAGGTCGACGACATGGAAGCGCAAGCTGTTGACTGGTGGTCATGGGGTGCGTCACCCACCTGTCCCCAAACACACGTACACACCACTAACTACCACTAAACACAGACTTCGAAGACGCCTACACGCCTCTCGAAAGTTCCTTCATCTTCGGTGTCGCTGGCCAGAACCTCACCGTGAACGGCTTCAGCGACGAAGACAACTTCGTCATCGACCAGCGCGGCTACAGCCACATCATCCACGGCATGGCGTCGACCTTCCTCAAGCCCAACGACACCCGCCTGCTCCTCAACAACCACATCACCAACATCAGCTACTCCGACTCCGGAGTAACCGTCCACAGCGCCGACGGCTCCTGCGTGCGCGCCTCCTACGCCATCTGTACCTTCAGTCTGGGCGTGCTGCAAAACAACGCCGTCACCTTCACCCCATCTCTGCCCGAATGGAAGAAGGAATCCATCGAAGGCTTCACTATGGCTACTTACACCAAGATCTTCCTCCAATTTAACGAGACCTTCTGGCCCGAGGACACCCAGTACTTCCTCTACGCGGACCCCTACATGCGCGGCTACTACCCCGTCTTCCAATCCCTCAGCACAGAGGGCTTCTTCCCGGGCTCGAACATCATCTTCGTCACCGTGACGGAGCAATTCGCCTGGCGCGCCGAACGGCAGTCCGACGAGAAGACCAAGGCGGAGGTCATGGAAGTCCTGCGCAAGATGTTCCCGGAGAAGAACATCCCCGACCCGATTGCGTTCATGTACCCCCGGTGGACCCTGGAGCCCTGGGCATACGGCAGTTACTCGAACTGGCCGCCCAGCACGACGCTGGAGATGCATGAGAACCTGCGTGCCAATGCGGGCAGATTGTGGTTCGCCGGTGAGGCGACCAGTCCGACCTACTTCGGATTCTTGCATGGAGCGTGGTTCGAGGGCCAGGCTGCGGGGCTGCATATCAACAGTATCTTGAACGGAACTTGCAAGGCGAATACTACTTGCAAGGGCAGGAAGCACTATGAGACGTTGCATGGAACTACGCCCCTGGCGGATTACAGTTTCGTGGATGGGTGGAACGGAAACAGTTTCTATGATTTCAACGATGATTAAACTGTCCCCCTTCCCTTCCCTCCCTCATTCTCTTTCACCGGCTCTATGTGGTGAACTGAATGTGTGTGTGGTGTATATATGTAGTATGAATATAACATATCATCATTTATCTATCTTTTTATCCAACTATAATATCCAACCCATACATCACTCATAATCATAACAATTCCCTTCTCCCGTCAAGGATGGAGAGGGGATTTACCAATCACAAAAATGCACATTAAGGCTAACATTCCCATTGGTCATGACACCACCCTGGCTAACGCCATGACAAGTCTCCACGACGTCCTCAAACCCATTAAGACAGTCCTCGAAGCTATCAAACACGCCGGTCTTGCCCACGCTGGCGTGCACCTTCGTCGGGCTGGTCATGTTGTTGACGAAGTGGTCCCAGTCGCCGTAGAGCACGTTCCACCGGTACTGGCAGTATTGCAGGGAGTAGAATTCCTTGATGCTGATTAGGGAGGCGCAGTTCGAGCCGCCGGTCTCGGGGTAGCAGATTGCGGAGAGGGCAGCGGTGGGGAGGAGGGGAAGGAGGAGGGCGGAGAGATGCATCTTGGTTCTATTGCTTAATTGTTGTTGGATATCTAGTGGGGGGGTGGTTAGTTGGATATATAGGGTGAATGTTGGGGAGGGGTGGTGGTTACTTTTGTGGTTGTGATGTAAAGTATGTATGTAGCAGAGGAATGAAGAATGGTGTGATGAAAGGAGGAAATAGCGAAGCGAACCTAGCCCCGGGGATGTACAGTAATAGGTATAAATACCCTCATTCTACCGACTACAATTGCTAGCTATCAGAGCAAGACAAATCACGCCAGGGGTACCTGCATCCCACCCCAGAGGGGAAAGCGATCAGCACGATCCTAAAACAAGCATCAGGAATGTTATGCATGTCTATCGAATTCAAATCGCAATTTCTATCTATCGCTAACAAACGCAAACCCAAAACGTGTGAAACAAATCAACCCTTACAGCCAGCCACTCACTCTGGCACAATGCACCCCCGGCAAGGGGACGAATCAAAAATCCCACTGTCCCAACCAATTCCCCATCAGCTCCCCCGTCACAGCTCCCAGGCCCTCCATGGCCTTGCTCGCCCCGCGCGTCTGCTCCACACTAATACTCGCCGAGAGCATCTCGCCCGTGAGTCCGCGGTAAAAGTCGAGCAGCTTCAGCGCGGGCTTTTCTCGCACCTCTGTCTCCGACGGCGATTTGATCGCTTCCAGCTCGTCCAGCCACTGATCCAGCGGCACCGCCTGCATACCGGGGTACTTTGCCTGAATGGCGGGGACGAGGGTCGCCCAGGGTGTCTTGCAGGGGTTGACGAGGTGGTAGACGGCGTGCGGAGTGACAGATTGGTTTTGACGACGGGTGTGCATGAGTTCGGTGGTGATGGTCGAGAGGGTATCCTACCAATACCATCCAGATTAGCTTCCATTCCCACCCATGTCTTGAGATCAAAACAAAAAAGAAGGGAGTCACCTACAACAGGCACCCAATCAACCTCATACCCACCCAAATTCGCCGGCACCTTCCCAACAGCCTTACTCGTCTTCACCAACGTCGGTACCCACTCATCCAAATTCCACATCCCCTTCACACTCGTCGGCCCAGCAATCTGCCCAACCCTAAACACCGTCGTTGGCACACCCGGCCCCTCGGAGGCAGCCAGACAGAGCCTCTCTCCGACGAACTTCGATTCGCCGTACCCCTGCACCAGCACCGCATCGACATTCTCGATCGGCGTCTCCGGCACCACGGGGCCCAACTTCTCCGTCCATCCGCCGATGGTACTCACACTGGACACGAACGACAAGTGCGCGTTGTACTTGCTCCTCAGACTGAAGGAGATGAACTCCACCACACCCTTGATATGCGGGTCCTCGAACGACTCGAGTGGGTGATTGAAGTTAACCTTCCACGCGTTGTGGATAATGAAGTCCACATCCTCCAGGAGGTCTGCGTACTTGGTCTCACTAAGGCCGAAGCGTGGTGCGCCGAATGAGACAGTAAGGAATTCCACTCGGCTGGGGTTGAGGAGTGTTGTGTCCAGACCCTTGTCGGCGAAGCTGCGCTGTTGGCGGTCGGCCGCGTCGGAGCGGTTGAAGCAGTAGACTTTCGCGACGTTAGAGTCGATCAGCAGGCTATGAAGGAGGTAGGTTCCGAGCGAGCCGGTCGAACCGGTGAGGATCACGGTGGAGTTGGCCGGGGCAGGAACGGCCGGGGTGGTGCGGCGAGGGAGCTGGGAGGTGTATTTCTCGATGGTAGCGGCGAGGCGATCGGCGCGGGAGATGGTCGTTGTACGCAGGTTGCCGGTCACTAGGTCGTGCAGGTAGACAGCGAGCTGGGAGATGGAGGGGTTGGCGTAGATCTGCTGCTGGGATATTTCCTGGCCAGCAGGGTAGCCGGCAGCGACGACAGCCTTGTTGAGGGTTTTGGCGAGCTGGATGGTTTGCAGCGAGTCCAGACCGGCGGCATAGAGGTCCTCATCGTCACCAAGGTCGGCGCGTTCGAGGAGGTTGGCGATGAGAGAGCGGATGAAGGTGCGGAGGTTGTCGATGCTGAGGGTAGTGGGAAGCTCGACAGCGGCGGTTTCTTCCTCTGCTGCTGCGTAGATGGCCTCAATTTCATCCTTGTAGTCCTTGTTCACGGCGTGGCGCTTTGTGGTGCCTTTGGGGGTCAGTTGGAAGGGCTTCTTGGGATCAGAAAGACGGATCTTGTTCTTTGCGATGCGGCCGTACTTGGGGACGGCTTCATTGGCGCGCTCCACGGTGGGCCAGATGGATTCGATGAAGGCTTTTTCGTCAATGGTTTCGCCCTCGAGAGCCCAGTTGGGCTCGATGAGGAGGGCCGTGTCGAAGCGTGCTTGGCCGATGAGGAGAGCACGGTGGACACGCGGGTGTCCCTCAACGATCTTCTCCAGGGTGATGGGGTTTAGCTTCTCGCCGTTGCTGAGCACGATCACGTCGTCGAGTCTGCCGTGGTATTTCCACAGGTGAGGATGCTCGGGGTGTCGGATGAAGAGGTCGTTGGAGTGGTACTCGGCGAGGTCTGGGAAGGTGTGGAAGATGCCGTGGATTCGGCGACTGTCTGCTCGGCGGGGAATGACGAGCTCATACATATCGTCGCTGACATGCTGCATGTCCACTCCATAGGCTGGGTTCCAGTCGAAGTAGCCCCATACATTCTTGCCCTGGGGGACGAGCGAGGAGATGATGCCCATTTCGCTGGATCCGATGACGGTGATCATCTTGGTGAGTTGAGACAGGTCATCGCCAACTTCTGGAGCAAGAGGAGCGCCGGCGAAATAGACATATTCAAGGGTGCTGAGGGCAGTGCGGGCGGCCGGGACGTGGGACATGTCTTCGAGGAGGGAGGGAGGAAGCATAGCTGCCGCAGGCTTGGTGGCGGTGATAGCAGAGGTGATGAGGTCGGCGGAGAGAGGCTTTTCGGGGAGGATGACGAAGGGAATGTGGTGAAAGAGGGATTCGAAGAAGGCAAGTAGTCCCATCAGGTGGAAGAAGGGCGTGGTGGAGAGGACAAGGGCGTCAGGCTGGACGTCGTAGAACATGGTAGATTGCCGGAATTGGGGACGCGAGATGTATGCGGCATAGTCGATGGTGGCAAGGAAGCCGTGCGTCAGGGGGACGGGCTTAGGCATGCCTATATAGGTTAGATGCGTTAGAAATTAAGGCTGTGGGATGGGTACCTGTTGTGCCGGAGCTGTGGATGATTATGGCGACATCGTCCTCGGCTTCCTGGTAGGTCTTGGTGTAAAGGTAGGGCTGGGCAGTGGTGCTGAAGAGCTCTGCAATGGAGGGCACTTCGTGAAAGGTAGTATCAGGACGGAAAGCCTGAATTTCAGACACGCGGCGCTGCTTTTCAGGTGTGTAGAAGAAAGCGTGACAGTCGGTAGCGTTGAGGATGTGCTGGTAGGCGTCGTCGGAAAGACGTGTAGAGGGAAGGAGAGGCTATTCCGTTAGAAAATGAATGTAAAACTACAATACGTGGAACATACCTTGTATCCCGTCTTATGAGCTGCCAAGAGGAAGATCAAGTATCGCACATCATTGCTAGCCATGTAAGCGATAGTCTTTGGCTCCTGGGCGCGTCCGATCTGCTTCTCGATCCACCAAGCAAAGGCGTCCACCGCGCGAGCCAGACGCTGGACGGTCACAGTATCATAGCCATCAGAGACATCAGCACCCGTGGGGATGAGACCGATGCGCTGAGCAGGGTTGGCTTGAGCGAGGTGGTCGACGACCACGGGGAGGAGGCGTTGTCCAGGAGTGGTGGCCATTGAAATAGTAAGTAGTATTAGAGTTTATGAAGTATAGTTTGGAAATAGCAAGTCTATATGCGATGAGAACAATTTTGAGCAGTGAAGAACGAACAGAACACGATGCGATGATGAGGATAGAACCATAAATCGAGCGAGTTTGCGAGGTATTTATATCCAGGTGTCGTTTGGGTGCGCGATTTCAAACCAGAACTTTGACATTGTGGTGGCTAAGGGAGGGAGCCGATTATCCAGGCAAACGGTGACACTAGACGGACTTGTGCCGGTGGAGCAGTCTGCAGTGACGCTGCCGATCAATTCTAGAATGTACCGACAGGGCTATGTTCATCATGTACCAATATCAACTAAGCCGACTACAATTGCAATGACTACATTCATGCACCAACAACCAATCCATCACGAAAAATACCGATGGAATACCAAATATCAAACTTCATCTTATTCTCAAGTTCAAGAACCTTGGCAAAGCTATCCATTTACCACGGACTCCATCCACACCCCGAAAGCTTAGCAAACCAAGTCTCCGGTCCGGCTGTGGCGGCGGGATATCCGTCTCGGCGATACTCCAGTATCTAGATAAGAGGGATGGCCTAATTCTGTTAGTAGTATCTTGAAGTTCCTTCGGATTGCTTGCACTACGTACCCCTACCTGACCGAACCAGGGATGCAGTGCCGTCGTACAGTATTACCTGATGCGGATTGTGCAACACCATCATACCATATCCACATGTATGATTTACCCACCATCTACATCATCCGCCACATACACTATGTAGCGGGCATCGGGCACAAGCAGTAAACACGGCAAACCGAGCACTGTGTTATTCCCGAGCAAAGAGAAAACAAGAATCAGAATGAAGCCGTTGAGTGGGGCGAAAAAGGGCAGTTCCAAGTTGTCTGAATCAGAGGAAATTACTGTTTTGGGTAATTTTGGAGCGCGAATCGGATTTCGGCATTCTCGATTGGGAGTTATGCTCCGGTATGATTGTTATTGGATGATATTGGTAGTGAGACTAACTGTATTAGGTAATATGCAACGAGGGGCTGTTTTATGCTGTTTGTGGAAGAAGAGGGTGGAACGAAAGGATTGGTGATGATGATATTGTGCAGGGTTTGATGTACACTGCATATGTAGATGATCATACGGATGTTGGGATACATATCTGTGTCATTATTGTGGTACTTTCTGACCAACCTCCCTATCTGAAGTCTTAACATGTATAGTGGTACCTGTTGAACGTTTATCCCTCCTGGTAATAATGATTGCGCGGCACTTCACATCAACCATTAGCTGACGCGAAATCTGTTCCACGGTTGATGTTCGGATATAGATTAATCGAAGGTGGATACTATGACTACCTCTCCCTCCTGAACCACAATGATAATGCAGCCATGTGGCAGCATATCTACCACAGATCATCCTGCCCCTGCCCCATTCCATTCAGAATCAATAGACACAATCAATACACCTATACTAATACCTAGTAAGACAAGCACAAAATCCCTCACACCTCATATTCGGCCCCCATACTCCGCCACTACCCAAACACCTTCCATTCCACCAACCGCACCATCTCCCCCGTCTTAGGCGTAAAAACCAACCTCAACGCCTCCGTCTTCACCTCATCCCAAGTAACCGTCGTGATTCCATTCGCCACCGCCGAGCTATAATTCCCATTACTCACCTCCTCCCACTCCCCTGTTGAGCCAGTGGTTTCCACCCGATAGCTCTCCGGCACATCATACCCCTGCGTACTATTCGCAAAGAACGCAATCTCGGCACTTGCTGTGCTTGTCGCATTTTCAAATTCCACTTGGTACCACACTTCTGTCCCATTGCCGACGGGGCTATCCCACCCGTTTGCGACGTCCTCAATCCAGTAGAACCAGACTCGTCCGTCAATAGCCGCGTGCACGTCGTCCGCATCAGCGTCTGCCACAGATACACTACCCCGCGGATACTCGCTATCAGCGGCGAGTTGCACCGAGACGGCGATGGGGCGGGATACTTCCGGTGCAGAAGCGGAGCTTAACTCAACCGTGAGACGGGTGAGGGTTTTGCTAGTGGCCACTGTTTCGCCGTCGACCTCGACGACGAGACCTACCGTGCCGTAGTGACTGCCCGTGGAGTCCCATTGCACGGCAACATCGTGACCGTGGTAGAGGATGCGCTCGGCGCGGAAGTAGCTCACTGTCGAGGCGTCCGCCTGGGGGTTAACTTCCAGGACGTCATCCGCGCGAGGTCGGATGCCCACGTAGCCCGAGAGAATAAGATCGACGAAGCCCGAGTGGAAGTAATGCGGGGAGCGGGGCAGGCCGACGATAGGACTCCCCGTGTCAGAGTAGTAGTCTTCTTCGATGTCGAGGACTCCGCCGCGAGCGGGGTTGTAGTGCAGTTGGGCGTACTGGCGGAGGATGTTGGTGTAGTCTGCGGTGGTGATGACGCCTGTTGCGGCGGTCTTGGGGTAGTGGTCGAGGAGGTTGGCGAGGCCCGTCAGAACTTGCGTCGTTTGATAGGGCCAGGCGGGACCGTTCCATTGGCATTCCGGGTTGGAGCCGTCGTAGCGGTACTGGACCATGTAGTATTGGTAGCTGGGCTCGTTGGTGCGGAGGCCATGCTCACCCGCTAGCTGCGAGGAATTGAGGATATGAGTCCATGCATTGGCGTAGGTGGTGTTGTCGTCGGGGAGATCGTGCGTCCAGGGAACGTAGCCGACGAGTTCGCGGCCGCGGATGAAGTCCCAGTAGGTGACGTACTCATTGTCTTCCTCGTAGCGGTCGATGAAGTGCTCGAAAGTGCTGTTCCAGAGGTCGTCCTGGAGGCGGGTCTTGAGGGCGCTCGCCAGCTGGGTGTACTGCTCGCGGACGGCAGTGTCACCGGTGAGGTTGGCGATGTGAGCGATAGCCAGGGCGTTGGCGTATTGGTAGCTGTTGATGCTGGGTCGGAAGGCATATCCGCCTGTGAATCCGTCTTCGCCGCCAGAGGCATCGATGCTGGCGATGGTGTATTCGGTCGCGTCCGTCAGGGGCTGGATCCAGTAAAGGTCCTTGGAGGTGTCGTAGCCACCGACGCCGAGGGTGGTGGAGTTCCAGCCGGCATAGACGGTCTGCATGGAGGAGAGTAGGGGAGTGGCATCATCGGCGACACCGTTGACTAGGTAGGCCTGCCAGACGCCGTCGGCCATGCATTCGGAGAATTGGTAGGGGTCGCCGTTTGGGCCGAAGAGGAAGGACGAGTAGTCACTGGTGAAGCGACGGTCGCGACACCAGCGGCCTTCGCGCAGATGGAAGTTAGAAGCATCGATCAGCAGGGCATACGGTTCTTCCTGCCAGCTGACGTCGTTGAGGAACTCTGTCGTGATGTAGCCGTAGGAACCAAGGTCGCGCTGATGGGCCCGGAATATGCTCCAGCGATAGTAGTAGACATCTTGGATGTCGGAGAGATCAGTCTCAAAGAGAGGGATCCGATCGCTATACCAAGGTGCATCGTTCCCAAAGTAATTGCTCAAAATGGAGTCGGCATCCAGGGCAGACGCGCCCAAAACGCCTGCCAGGGCGAGGACCTGCAGAGACCGCATGATGGATGTGCGTCATGGTGAAGGTGGGTAGAGCAATCGTTGTCCTCTTATTTGAATGAGAATCAGAGCGCATTCTCCCCAGGGACAATCTCCGGTGGAGGAGAGGGGATGGTATTTAACCGCAGGGGATTCGGAGGGCATGGAATTCGCCGATTGGCGGGTATCGGCGATCAGGGGAGAATGTCTCGCAAACCACGCAATTAAGCTCATCAAGTCTCTCCTGCGGGGGTGGCTCGGACGTACAGTTCTTCAGACACCCCAGACGGGGTATTCCTGCATCTGCGAGTCATCATACCATTGCTATTCTGGGTGGGACGGTGGCATGAGAAGTTAGGCTGCATGATAAGGTAGGAGAGATTACGGGATACGGATTAGGATAGCAGCCCACGTCTGTCTACAGGGAGTTTTGCAGCAGTCTCTGTATTATTCTGTCTTTTGATAAAATAACGCAACTAAGAAATCGAGTGGATCTCCCACTCAAGCAAAAGGGAGGAAGGCAAAAAAGAAAAAGAAAAATGAATGCATCATCCGTGAATCGAACACGGGCCTCATCGATGGCAACGATGAATTCTACCACTAGACCAATGATGCCGGTAGATGTTAGATGGGTAATTTCTTTAATAATTGAGCAATAACAGATTGATATATTCCATTTCATGATCTTCCCCTCCTATACATTTCGGGCTAATGACAGAATATGGAAACGCCATCTCACAACTATTTCCACACATAAGAGAAGTATCGAATCGTTGCAGTCCCTTGACTCTCACTAACTTTGCGCTCATATCCTTTGATCTTGGAAACAAATTCTACTGGGGGGACAAAGCCTGTTGTACTTCGTGGGTAACTCCCGCTTTCTTAGTACTCAATGTGATTTCTACTCCCCATTATGAACATAAAGTCAGTACCATTGGTATGATAGTAGATGCGCGTAATTGAAGAGATAGAGATATCTCTCTGACAGAGTGGGCTGTGAGATGAAGTGTTACTATCGTACTTCTATTCATTTCCACAGTACTACTAGTAGCATGAAAACAGATATTGGAAGTGCTGAAGGATGAGCGCCTCTTGACTCCAAGAGCTACTAGTATCATGCATACTAGTAGTGATTTCGCGCAATTACATATGTTATGGGAGTCTGAGACGTTTCAAATTATGTCAGATTACTATGTAGCAGAGACAACCCCAAATATACACATAGAGTACAGGGCACACACCACTAGGTATTACCCAAAATGCCATCATCCCAAGTCATATACCTAGCCGAGATGAGGATCCCAAGGATACTAAGCATCCAGTCACCAAAATTGGAATCAGCTGGAAATTTCTCCCTTCCACGCGCCCTCCAAACCGGACTTCTTCAACACCAACAGCGCTAAATCGCCCAAACTGCCCGCCGACAACAACTCCAAAACCTGCAAATGACCCTTCAGCTCCTTCCCAATCCAGTTCCTCAACTCAATGGCATTCAACGAATCCAACCCAAAGGTCGCAATTGGGGTCGTTTGCGCATGCGCCTCCACCACTTCCCGGGGAAGCATAAGAATGTCACCCAACTTTTCGCGCAGACCGAGGGCTGTAACATCGAGGGCTTCTTGTAAGCTCGTGGCACGGCGGACTTGCTGGGTGATGGAGAGGGATTTGGTCAAGCCGCCGTGGGCTGTCGTATCAGCTCCTCCTTCTTCCTGCTTCACGGCCTCGACAAGATGGGTAAAGCGGGCGTCAGCAGCATAGTACGGAGTGGCGGAGGAGGAAGGCCAATGCACACCGGTGATGCATTGTTCAGGGAGTTCCTGGCCCTGCATCGCAAATTCAATAAGGGCTAGTACTTCAACTTCTTGCATCGCGTTACCCGATGCCAGGTTCTTCATCACTTGTGCTTTTCTTTCTGCGTCGTCGGAGAGCACGCCGACGTCGCCTACTGCGGCAAGATCGAGAGATACCGCGGATAGACCCTTTTGGCGCCGGTAGCGTGCCAAAGCATCCAGGAAACAGTTTCCGGCTGCGTAGGCGGCTTGACCGCGGTTGCCGATGATGCCAGAAACTGAGGAAAGCATGATGAAGAAGTCCAGTGGTTGCTGGAGAAGAGCATAGTGGAGGTTCCAGGCTGCTGCGACCTTGGGACGAAGCACAGCTTCCCAGTCTGAGAAGGTCATTTGTTCCATGAAAACGTCCTAGTTGCATAACTGTCAGAATTTCTTGGAAAGAAGGATGGTTGGAGGGGATAAGCGTACCTTGAGGACCATGGCTGCATGAATAACACCCCGGACTGGAGGTAGTTCTTCTTGCAGCTCTGAAATAAGTGCTTTAATCTGCGAGACTTCGGACACGTCACAACTTCTAACGTGGATCGATGCATTCAGGGTTTGGCCTTCGCTGATGACCTTTTGGACTGCGTCTGTGACGATGCCACTGCGAGAGAGCAGGACAATATGTCTAGCTCCGCGTTGAACCATTCTCCGAGTGATCGATTGGCCAATGCCTCCGGTGCCACCGACAATAATGTACGTGGCATCCGATGCGAGAAGATCGGTGGGCGGCAGGGGATGCGTGGCCTTGACCTTCCCATTGATCCGATGGTCCACGACGACCTTGCCCGTCGTCTTTCCACTCTGTAACTTTCGAAGCACCGATTCCACCTCGGCGATGCCTACGGTCGTTACCGGATATACAGGCGTCAGCCTTCCCTGTGCGAACATTCTCATGACAGACGTCAAAACACGGTTCAGAACTTTGCCCCTCTGATCCGCAACGAGCGTCAAGTCCAGAGAGGAGAACGTGCAGTTGTATTCAAATTTGGCCATCTCCAACCGAGTATTGGACGTAATATCCCGCTTTCCAATCTCAATGAATCGTCCAAAGGGAGCCAAGCAGTCCCATGTCTCGCGGAGAAAATCGCCTGCCAGCGAGTTCAAAATCACATCCACTCCGCGCCCGCCTGTGGCTTCACGGACACAGGGACCGAACTCAGTATCACGACTATAAAAGATGCGGCTTTCCGGAATGCAGTACCGATCTATTAGCATCTGCTTCTTCTCCTCACTGCCTACCGTGGCGTAGATCTCGGCTCCAATCAGCTGAGCCAGCTGGATCGCGGCCTGACCGACGCCCCCCGCAGCTGCATGGATAAGGATGCTTTCCCCGGCTTCTATCTTAGCCAACTCAACAAGCCCATACTGAGCCGTGCTGTAGGTGACGGGGAGTGAAGCTGCTGTTTCAAAGTTCATTGAGTCAGGGATCACAGCTGCGCTGGTTGCCGGACACCGCGCGTAGGTGCTGTATGCGCCGTGGGACATGGCACATACGCGGTCTCCAGGCTTGAGAGAGTCGACCTTGTCACCGACGCGAGCCACCGTGCCACTGCACTCGATGCCCAAGTAAGGACTGGCAACCTGGCCCATGGTAATCACGACATCTTTGAAATTCGCTCCTGTGCAAGCGACTTTGATCTCAATCTCGCCCGGCCCGAGCGGCTGGACGAGATCATCTGTCCAGTAAAGGGAGTCCAGGGCGCCCAATGTACCGACAGCAATCTTCAGTCGACGGCCACCCTGCTCGAAGTCCTGCGCGTACGGAACGGATGGGTGTGTCTCTTGGAATAAGGCTTTGTTCAGTCCTGAATGCTCTACTATGCGAGGAACCATTAGGCGCCCACCGGCTTCGGTGAACTCATAGTCCGACATACGTGCTTCCTCGTCACTGGTGGCCTCCTGGCCAATTTTGGTCGACGCCCTGAAGGCATCTAGAATCAGATGGGCCCGGCCTGCTACGTCTTGCCGAGAACTGGGATCCAGGTCGAGGGTGACGGCTGTATTTCCTGTTTCTGAACGCACAGAACGCAGCAGACCCTGAATGATGTTCAACTCGGGGTGATCAACATCCATGTATGCTCCGGAGGTTACCCAGAGGCAGTAGGAACAGGTAACGAGGAGTCCTTGAACCAGCTTGAAGGTTTCGGAAGTCAGTGACTGCAGCATTGGAGCATCTAGCTCAGCTAAACAGATGTATAGACATTTGGGTGAGATTGGGACGCGGGATAGGGGGACGACCGTGGCTCTGCATCCAGCGAAGACTTCAATAGCTTTCAGAAGAGAAGCAATAAGCGGATCATATATCTGTTTCTCGGTGATGATGATGATGGTTGTCTCATCCTCTGGTGACATATGGCGTCTTCCATTAGATGAGTCGTGGCTGCCGTTCGCATGCACAATGCCATTGCCGTTCGTATGCACAATGTCATTGCCATTCGTATGCACAATGCCATTGCCGTTCGTATGCACAATGTCATTGCCATTCGTCTCGCCATGACCATTACTCTTTGAGGCACTTTGAGCTATGCCGTTTGCGGCACCCGCAGACGACAGTGGCTCCCATTGCACAGTATAGCACCATGGATACGGGCTGGAGTCAATCAGCGTATCGCTATTGACAGGGGTCAGTCGCAACCCGTGGATAGTGAGCACGGGCTGCTCTGTAGACGCAGACGATGACCATACGTCGATGGTATGGTCCACTGCTCGGGGACGGGAAGTATCTGCCGGCAGACCATTGACTAGGGCCTCTACTGTTTCTCCTGGTTGCGAGGGGAAATTGGCTGTGATATTGATTTCCCGGATGAAACTCGGCATGAAGAGGCACGGAAGAGCGCCATAGCCCGCCCCCAAGACGACAAAGGACAACTGGAAGCTCAGATCGAGAAACGCAGGAGAGACAATCAACGGCGTTTCATGGCCCGATGGCATAATCTGCGCAGTGTTGGGGACTGTGAGCTTTGCGCGCGCACATCTGCCGGTCTCGACGCCTGCTCCTTCGACAGTGACCCCGCTCTCTGGACTGAGAGTGAACGCATCGCTGTATCCAGCTCCACGACGCTCTAGCTCAGTGTAGAATGTCTCCAATAACAAAGGCTGATGGTCGCCCTGCCTAGCCTTCTCACGCCGTTTCAGGCTGGCATGAAACGGCCGGCGTTGGCTAACGGGGTTGGAGGTGGACAACTCCTGGCGCCTGATGCCGATGAGACCACGGCAATGCTCACGCCAACCCCGACCAGCAACCCACGAGGCAATACGGAACTCATCCCATTCGCTCGAGTAGGAGCGGGTTCCCTCCGTGAACGAGCTTAAAGAGAGCAGAGTCTCGTACTCGATGTTCTCCTCCAGGGTGAACGCCGACGAAGCATGTAATTCGCGAAGCCGGTATCCGGCGATCTGGGACGGGAGAATACCTCTGAGCTGAGCTCGTTGGGATGCCGCCTCGACGGCCATACTCACATAACCCGCCATTGGAAAAGTAGCCATGGATTGCATACGATGACCACGGAGCCACGGTAGGCTATCCAGAGAGAAGGAATTGCGCCAAACGGGCTGCTCATCCTCGCGGGCAGACGCTTCCAGTCGTCCCAGCAGATCATGGCGGGGGAAGCGCGGCAGTCGGTGGTTGACGGCGATGCGACTTTCCCGCCAGTAGGAGCGATGTGACCAGGGATATGGCGTGAGGGATGGTAACACCGTTGGCACTGACTGATCCTGGTGAGTTTGGTTGACTGCACGGAAATCCAACTGCTGGCCGGCCAAGAACAAGCGACCCGCGAGCTGTAGAGCGGCCTTGGTGGCGTGCTCGTTGCGGACAAGTGAGGCGAAATACTGAGTATGCATGTTCTGAATGCCCTGCAGAATCTGCTTGATCGGGCCCTGCAACGCCGCATGCGGCCCAATCTCAATTATGAAGTCGGGCCTGGAGTCGGCGCACAGCTGGCCCAGGGCCGTGGAGAACTGAACCGGGTGTGTCAGGTTATCAACCCAATATGATGCTCCCAAAGCCCCGGGCTGCTCGATCTTTCTACCTAACAGCGAGGAGTAGAACTGGACATTCTCCTTCTTAGTGGATGGCGCAACCTGCTGGATGGCGCTGGTATAGTCATCGGCGATCAGCTGCATGTGGGGTGAGTGATAAGCAACGTCGACATGAAGCTTGCGATGAAAGATTTGCCGCGCTTGCAGATCCTTCGCGAGAAGATCCATGGCAGTGGCATCCCCAGATGCCGTAGTAGACCGGGGAGAGTTCTCACAAGCGACAGTGATGTCCTCTCCAAGCTGAAGTTGCTTTATGGTCTTTCGCACCTCATCAGCACTCTCTCCAACGGCCATCATGCAACCATTCAGGTCTGGGAATCGGACTCGAACTTGAGCCGCGAGTCGTCCCCGATGATACGCCAGGGCAATAGCCTCGCTCACAGAAATAGCACCCGCCGCATATGCTGCCCCAATCTCTCCACTGGAGTGGCCGACCACCATATTCGGTTGTATGCCCCAGGATGCCAGAAGATCGGTCAGGGCAAGCTGCACAGCCGTACATACCACTTGAGATATCTGAGGCTGACTGACGCGAGACTCCGCTGCCTCACGCTTCAACTCTTCGAACAGGGAAAACTCCGCGCCCAGGTCCTCCAATGCACGCGCTGATTCCTCCATGGTGGCTGCAAAAGCAGGGTGGGTGTCTGTGAGTTCCACCCCCATGCGGGGCCATTGTGCACCCTGTCCAGTATACGCAAAGGCAATGGCGGGGGAAGAGCTGGCCCCCAGCTTGACGCGCTGAGGGACACTCGCCGGCCCATTCAAAGTCTCGACGAGTTCGGCGGTAGATGAAGCGGTGACTGCAACGCGCCAGGGAAAGTGAGAGCGCCGCTCTCCCAGGGTGTATGCGATGTCGTGCACCAGGCGCCGTTCGAAGACGCCCGGGTGTTGTTCCAAGTAGAAGACAAGGTTTCTGGCAATGCGTTTTGCGGCCTCGTCATCATAGCCGCTGAGTACAAAAAGCCGGGGCGCATCGTGTGGGGAGATGGGAGCCTGACCGCGTGAACGAGGAGGCCTTTCTAGTACGACATGGCAATTGGAGCCACCAAAGCTGAAATTGTTGATACTGATGTACTTCTTGCCCTGGGGCCAGGGGCGCAGACTGGTCGGCACCTTGATATTCCATTGATCAAGAGGAATGGCAGGGTTAGCGCGCTTAAAGTTAGCATTGGGGAGAATGAACCCGCGGTGTAGCATCAGGGACGCCTTCATCACAGACACAATGCCGCTGGCATACTCGAGATGTCCAAAGTTTGATTTGACGGAGCCGAGGTATAGCGGTGTGCGCTTGGTCCGGCCATCCCCAAACACCCGATTGATGGCGCCGACTTCGATGGGATCGCCAACCTTGGTTCCGGTGCCGTGCGCTTCAACGAATCCTGTCTCAGTCGGGGAGATGTTGGCGCGGGCGTAGACTTCTCGCATGAGCTGTTCTTGGGCCTCTCCATTGGGGTTTGTCAGGCCTAGCGAAGTTAGAGATCATCCGGAACATATCTTCCAAAAGGTAGTGACGTACCAACCGTCTGCCCATCATGATTCGCTCCAGTGTTCCTAATGACGGAATAAATCGGATCGTTGTCTTTCAGAGCCTGGTCCAAGGGCTTGAGGACCAGACAGCCCACCCCCTCGCCGCACGCAAAGCCCGAAACGGCACGATCATCGAACGCGAAGGTCTTGCCTTGCTCGTTGTATAAGCTGCCAGAATTTCGTCAGAATCTCGCGCATAAATTAACATAGGCCCACATAAAGAGGAGTCGTTACCCCATCATAGACATTGAAACCATCTCATCTGGCTGCAAACGCAATCTAGCACCCCCAACCAGAGCGGAATCCGCATCGCCAGAACGAATACTCTGCACTGCCAGGTGCAGTGCATAAAGACTGGACGAACAGGCCGTATCAATAGCCATGCATGGACCACGGAGGTTAAAGAAATGCGAAAGGCGACCAGCCTGAATAGACTCCTGATTTCCCGTGGCATCAAAAATGGGAACCGAGTCAAGGTCGCGAAAAGCGCCGCGACGGTAGTCTGATGAACAAAGACTCGTGAAGACTCCCATCCGCGAGCCTGCCATGGTCTGTTGTGGGAAACCGGCGTTCTCCAGAGCTTCGTAGGCACACTCGAGGAGTAATCGCTGTTGGGGATCTATGCTGATTGTCAGCCATTCAGGATTGTTTAAGGTCTATCATCATGGATCAGGAATAGACGAGGCTTTTTACCCATGGCAATGGCTTCTTGTTGCGTGATATGAAAGAATGGAGCGTCAAACTGGGAAAAGTCTTCCTGGAGGAAGTAGCCTCCCTTGGGATTAAAGCAGCCCTTCCGCTGGGGATCTGGGTGATAGTAGGATGCACTAGACATGCGATCCGAGGGGATTGGACCCCAAGCATCCCGACCTCGAGATATGAGAGTCCAGAAGTCATCAAGCGTACGGACCTCGCCCGGAAGACGACAGGACATGCCCACGACCGCAATGGGGGTCAGAGAGCTGTCTGTGTTGGTCATTACGGCGGCAGAAGTGAGTAATTAGAAGATTGGGGGGAGGGTTGGAAGGACAGGATGGAAAGAGAGGTCTAATGGAAGGCTTGCTTGCTCGAATGGACCCAACTGAAACGGGTCTCGCTATTTATTTATTTTCTGAAGCTCTTCCAGCGCAGAACATCCACACCGAACCGATAACGCCGCATGATCGTGTTGGTCGTTATTTGCTTTTGACCTCGTTATTCCTTTCCTTTCCTTCTAATTTCAGATTCTAAACCATGTTTAGCATGTACACGACGCTGTCAGCCGTCATAAGTGCTCCACCTCCTATTTGATTCCAGCTGGCTTTGTGCCCACGAGCCGTAGACTTTAGCAGATCGAGGATTTCCGATGTTACCGGAAGAGACTATCTATCTAGAAGATGAAGTTAGTGTCCTTTTCTCAAGAATAGAGTTTCCACATCCGAGAACTTGGGTATGCATCTTCCGACTAGTTTGAGTTTTATCTTTGGATCTACATCTCAAACAGGAAATGGCATAGGCAGCGTTGCCGGGAACCTGAAGAAGGATAAAATATGTCGCACAAGGAGTGTTTAATTGGGGAAAGAGGAAATTAAATGAACTACAGTATTGTAAAAGCTACTGGATATGTAGGCAGAGGTGAGTGGCAATCCCGCATTCGGATATATTTGTGCACAGCCATAAGTGATTTTGGATAACACAACACTCTCTCATTGAACCCTATTTACCCTAGTACCCATGCACCATTATTCTGTTGTCCTCGGAAGTTTATGAGGGCGGCTGGGATGGCGAGTAGGGGACATCACTTTTCCTCTTTCATAAATAGTCGCAGATGGAGAAATCATCATGATCGAGAGTCCTAGTGGCATCACCGAGAGTGAGAGATAATCAAGTTCAGACTCTGCCAAGACAGAGTGGAAGCCGACTCTGAAAAAGCGGTCAAAGAGTTGATAATATGTGGGGGGGATCTATCGATCGAGTGAAACGCCATGCATGTTACCCAATCTTTGCAACTACTCTAGTCTATGACCTTGTTCATTTAAGAACAGCCACTGTACAAAAGTTCACTAGCCTCTTTTTTTTTCCCGTTAGTCCTTTTTATTTCTTTATTTTTCCTTTCCGTTTTTCGAATTTATTAAATAAATGTCAAGACCATCTTGCAAAACGCTTGTGAGCGCAGATTCATGATTCTGCCATGAGTTTATGAACTACAATGAAGCCCTAGCTGAATGGTATGTAGACAGTCTGGTAAACGTACTTTGTACAACGCAACTTTTTCTTTTCCATTCAATTCTCTCCTCATCCTTTACTTCACCACCCCTCCTCTTTTTCTGAAAATAAAATTTCTATCACCAAATTTTATTCATTCAATCATTCATTCATGTATTTTCCATTCCCTTTTGCATTTTCTAAAAAAGGGAAGGTATCTCTAGCCGCCATGTGCGCCTCCTCGCCAACCACGGAGTATTTACTCCGTAGTCCGAATGATCGACACAAATAGCCCGAACTCCTACTCGATGGATCCCATAGATCTATAATGGATCTACACCGTACACCATGGTTGATCTGCGATGTCATGAGCCACCAGCCAGGCCGAGAGAGAAAATATATCCGCTCCGCAAGTTTCTCAAATATGACAATCTGACATGACCTGTCTAACTAACCTACTCCCTCTGGCCATATTTTTGTTTTAACAAATCTCTGAGGCCCACTAGTGGAGGAAATAGTCGTTAAAACTTTTCTATAGTACTTGTTCCTGGCTCCTGATACAGTAAGTGACAGCTCAATCACCACCGTAGATAAATGACATACTATTCAGGTTTAGTAGTAAATGTATGACTTCAATAGAAAATGGATACTCAGAACAGTGGCTGCAGTTAGATCTCGGGAATTGAAAAAATGGTGGCCAGAGGGAGTGCGTACTACATATTCGGAAGCCCCAACCCCCAAACTAGCGGAATAGTATTTATTTGTGAGTAGTACCTCCCTACGACATTTCCCTACCCCCCCTCCTCCCCCCGCTTCTCTTCAGAACCATATCTCCACCCCAACTCCCCTCCTTGGGCTCTCTTCTACATACCTTCAATCAAAAGTCGTTTCCAGTATGACCATTCTCTGTCTGCACGGCGGTTTCGGCAGTGCCCAAAACTTCCAAGTCCAACTCGATCCTCTCACCAGCGTCTACAAATCCGTATACCCCAATACTTCCTTTCACTACGTCAACGGTGGGCATCCTGCCACACCACCACCAGGGACTCAAGATTACTTCGGTCTGCCGCCTCATTACCGGTTCCTCGATTACGATGGGATCGGGCGGTCCAGTGATGTGATGGAGCGGATTCGTCAGCTGCCCAGAGGGGCTACGGCCGAGGATACGATGCGGGTACTGATGCATGAGCACGAGATGATGTCTGCAGATTGCGTGAAGCAGGCGTTGGATAGGCTGTTGGGGATACTGGATGAACATCCTGAGATTGACGTACGTTCGGATCACTTCATTCACACTCATCCAACATAAGTGAACATCAAGTGGTACTAACCAGGAGTGTTTGGATTAACAGGGGGTTCTCGGTTTCTCAGAAGGTGCTACAGTCGCCGCCACTTTATTGCTTGAAGAGGAGCGACTTGTCCAGGAGGAAGGCAGGGAGAGACGGCTTAAGGTATGAATCCACGATATCAGATTTGTATTCGTAGTACCTCTTTCCTGCTCGGTTACACAGAGAGGTCACTATATCGCTGCATGCTAACACGTCTACTGGGTTTTTAGTACGGGATTTTTCTAGCAGGCTGGCCTCCCCTCCGTATAGTAGGCGACCGAGTAACAGGCTGTCTGGCGGATGAAACCGAAGACATGATTGTAGTCCCGACGTGTCATATCATCGGGGCTAATGACCCTTACGTAGATGGCACTATGGCATTGTATGGGGTTTGCGATCCAGATACGGCCATCATGTTTGATCATGGCAAGGGCCATACCATTCCGCGGGATGTCGCGACGATGAAGGAGGCGGTAGAGGCAATTGAAGAGACAAGGAGAAAGGGAACTGAGGCAGGGGAGGTGTAGTGACTTTGTTTTGGTCATTTACTGTACAATAGAGACATACAACGTGAGGACTAAGGCAACTTATGGAACCCTAAATATATCGATAATTTAGGATCGATGGCGAAGAGATCGGTTCTGTTGGGAAGTGGAGTTGAGATGTAAGTTCCGTCGGTGGATATGCTCGTTCTGCATGCATGCTGCATGCGACCTCTTGCATTATTGATGATACAGGTACTGCTAGTGAACACAACTGAGAATGTAAGTATACGTCATATTAGGCTACTAGTAGTGAGGCACGCCTTGTCCGCCCGCTTTCTATCAATGGTACCTGCTGCATGCTAAATTTAACCTCACTTTCACGAATCTCAAGCCGTTGCGCTTTTCTGTCTCAGCATTTCTTCGACATGTTTCAAGGTTAAGATGCAGCTAATCATACATTATAACTTTGACATATATCAGATCTATAGCTCCACAGGCTGTCAGCAAGTCAATAGGAACCCCAAAGAGAGACACCTAGTCAAGAAATTCTGGCATTGATCAATCATGCAATCCAAGTACATATGCATCTCGACGCCTTTCGGAGGCTTTTGCGGCGCAGTTTGCGGTGTATAACCCCGGGTGCGACCAACACATCATGCAGGAACTAGGAGTTAGTGGCTGAGTTAGGCAACTGCCTAGCAGATATCTGTATGCTAGTATAGAAGAATCCCTACTGTATTGTAGAGATATCCTGTAGAGGGCTATTGATTTTCTCTCTTTTCTGATTCATTAATATTCAGGGTTTTGTTCATGTATTTTATTCTTTTCTTCATACATGTATTTACCCAATAACTTCACTTTTGTTCTGTTTCTCGACATATCTCTTTCTTGATCGTTTTATAACTGGCGTTAGTATTTGCCTCTCGATGGTGAGAAAGAATAGAATATGCCAAACTGTGTCGGGTACATGTTAGTACAAGCTGATTAATGCAATAGGTATCGTTAGCTGCGATCTACTCGAGAAGAGTGTCTTCATAAAGCAGAAACTGCGCGAAAAAAAAGAGATGAAACCGGCATTACATATATGCCCTGCTGTGTAGATGCTTTATATGGTCAGTAACTATCCATGATGATTCTGTAGACCAAGGACATTCCTCAGAGAATCAATTCTTCATATGTAATATATAATTTACTCATTATACTACGGTTTCTTTAGTATAGGGGTATGTTTTGAAATTGTTCCATTTTTCACTAATATATATAATATATATACTATATATAATATCTATAAGATTATATAGTAAAGACCGTTCTCTTTCCGGCCTTCGTGGTAAGTATACTTAGTATCTTAGATCTGTTCTGGGAGTAGATATCTCAGAGTAGAATTGTATATCCATAATGGGACCCAAAATCTTGTCTTGTGATGTTCTACCTCTACGCCACCTACAAGTATTGAAAGTCTGTATAGCCACCCCAGTATACTATCGGAGGATCGAACGAACTATGATAGAACTAACCAATCAATCGATGGCCAGCCAGTCGATGCATTCTGCACTAGTAAGGGGGTTTACGGAAAATTGGAGGACAATAGTCAAGAAGGGCAGTGTATCTCAAACTTCCAACAAGACTTGGAGGAGGATACGAGAAAATATCCGTACTACAATTCAATCAGAGTGGCCAATAATCTCATCATGATCTTTCATAACCTCATTCAACATACTCGTAAGTCATATCACATCTACACATAAACCATGCCCAAGATAGACAAGATCATCAGACCTGTGACCCATTAAACGTCATCATCCGTTGTCTTTCTTCCCCCACCACCCTCTTCCTCGGATAGTAATGCCAACACGCCCAGACAAACATCGTGATCAGGGTCAGTGGGATAGTAATGGCCCAATAAATCCAGAATGAACTGGTCATGACTTCGTTTCCATTTTCGTAATCAAAGAAGTTCGTCCCGAATAGGCCCTACACTTCTTAGCATCGAGGTATTCCATGGAGCTTCAAGGTTGGAACATACCGATACAAATGTTCCCGGTAGATATATCATACTGACGATCGCAACCGTCCTCATCATTGCGCTGTCAGACTTGGCGTCGTGGCCGAACCGTTGGGAGACGAGGTTGAATCCCTAACACATTAGATTTGTTTCGAACAAAGGGATATGTTGATACTTACCAAGTTAATCTCGTTGTGTAACCGCTCCGAGAGCGATCGGCTTCGGATCTTCAGTGAGTGAAAGTCCTTGGCCCGTCGAAGCAGATTCCGTTTATTCTGGAGCCATTCGCCCTTGTTGATATTTGGGTACAGCTCGTAGGAGCGCGCCTGCTCTTCCACTAGGCATTGCATGGTATGTTCTGCGACCTCGAGGGTCTCGTTTGAGTGAAAGACATGCCGTGCAATATCGTGCAAATGAGGGAAGAAGTCGGGGGTCAGGCTCTTTACATCAACTCTCGACTGTATTCAATTTAGTATACTGCATAGTGATCTTGATCGGAATAATATTACCTTCTCAGTGGCCCGGACTAGGTTTCGAAGCGCCCAGAAAGAAGCATCATAGACATCGATCATGGTGTTCGCAATTACAGCGTGCCAAACATACGGGTTGCTGTTTGCCTGAGTCGTTGGTAGGATGGCAACCAGCTTACTGGGCGGGTCTGGATGGTCGACAATAAATACGACCTGGATCTGGGTTTCTGGATACCAGGTCACAAAGACGGTAGTTTGGACCCATTCGTATGTATGAGGATCGCGGACATGTTTTATCTTATAACAAGCCCAGGAAACTAATAACTTCATCAACGACCCATTCATCCGAGCCTGGGTTGAGAACAAACCGTGCTTGATAGGCTTGTCGTTCTCGTCGAGAAGATCGTCACAAAACAAGGACCCGTTGATGTCCTTGCTAATGACAGGCTGGAACTCATCCGTAAAGAGGCGTAGATATTTCGTCTCATCCAGAGTTTGGCGTTTTGAGAATCTACACGCATTAACAAAAACAAGGTTTATCCCGACAGGAATGGTATATCCTACATAAGCAACGATTTTGTCGGGTGCTGCTATCGTCAATGCCAGCCATCAAGGACACCGCGGAATGCATACCTCAAGATCCAAATCTAGTAAGGATGCCCCAGTTTCCATCCATGGTCCGGTTCCTGAGCTTATCAGCGCTATGGCCACGGCTAAGCAGATACGAACTGACCTCGCTCATAGATGGTAATGCCCTCGGGCATTGTACTCGAGGAGCTAGTGGGAAGCTTCTCCATTTACCGTGTCAGACGGGCCGGAAAGATGGCCCACATGCTAGCATAATCGGCGAATGTCAGACTAACAGGTTGCTTGCAGCTGACGGTCGACGGAGGATTTATAGCTGGCGATCGACGAGGCTGGATTTAGTGGCGCTGGCTAGCCGCCGCGGGTGGGCACGTAGTCACATCTGTCAAACCATGATGCCCAACCGCTGTGGTGAGGCTTGTGGGAGAGATGTTTGAGTCGCACGGCTGTCTGGTTGATGTCACAGACATTTGATAGGATGTGAGTTGCAGTGCGGACTGACTGCACAGCCCATCTATCTACAGGGGGGAGGAGAGGGAAAGCATCAACATGAGTGGTTGTGTTTGTCTGCCCGGCGGCCTAAGCGGCAGCCCGCAGGCCACGTGATCAGACTGAATTGTGTAGTTAGGAGGAGTCTGGATGGCATTGCACGCTTAGTACTGGTAAAGTGTCGGGCGCATCGGTCACCTCGCCTATTCTACACATCGTGGGAGGCTGCATCAAATTGCAGGTTCTATGGGTATTATATTCTATCACGGATATGAACCAATTCCGTCGGCCCGGATCGTGCCTCAGATGAGCAACATAAGGCTGGCACGCAGAATGCCACACATCTAAGCCACGCTGGGGTCATCACAACAAGGGTAAAGTCACTAAGTACCAGTCCACCCCTCCAGACATCCCTGAGGGTCTATATAACGCCGTAAGTCAAGAGACAGTGCCAGTTCTGGGTGCCTAACTTGTCCTATGGCATCAACCCTGGTCCTACGCCTCCTCACTGTCATCAAGGAGGTCAACGCTGTCGCGCACGCCAAGCGGCGGCGGCGCAACCGTAATGGTAAACAGCGAGTCGGTTTCCGTGGGCAGTGCCAGCCTCTTCGCCTGGGCGGTCGTGCGGAGCGTGCCCAGGATGGTCCGGCTCGACTCCCATCGTCGCGAAAATGCCTTGGCCGCGATACTGAGGGTGATAAATGCCTCCCGGTTGTTGGGCTCCTCCAAGTCATCCAGCAACGTGAACAAAGCCTCGGTGATACACTGGATGTTGCTGACGGGCATGCGGTCGAGACCCCAGCAAGAACGGTGGATCCGCATCAGGTGGGCGATATTACGCGCTGACGAGAAGCACATCTCACGGGAGCGCACAGGCGAAATAGTCGGAACGGGCAGTGTAGAATATTCTTTCAACGGCTCGTAGATTCTCATGATGATCGCATGGTGATACATACTGATCCGGTTAGTGGGGGGTTCTGGCGGATTGACAATCTAGACGTACTGTAAACAGAGGATATGCGGAGCCTCGAGTTTAGTCTTCAGACACGTGGGCCACCGATCGGAGCAGAGACGAAGACGCTCATAAAGGTCTGCCACTTTGCTTTCCGTCTCCGCCCGTGGGCGCGATGGCGCCTCGCGGTGGAAGAAGGTCGCTACATCGTAGGCAATCAAACTCAAGCCGCACAGCGCGCTGAACAGACAGACAGAATGCCCCTCAGTTCCTTCTGCGTGATCCGGATACGGTCGCCATTCGTCCGAGTCGCCTTCATGGCTGACGAGGGGTAGACTGTGGCGCTGCGGCGGCTTGATTAAAGGGCGGCTCTTGTCGGCCAAGGCGTGACTTCTAGTCCCGGGTTAGTTGCACGATCCCCCTGGAGGGTTGCGCGAAAGCTTACGTGGCCATGTTAAACAGTCCCCAAACGGTCCCATTGATAACTCGAACCATGCGGAGCGTATCTTCATCGGCATCGGACGCCAGAACGGAATTCTTCTGCGAAAGTTCCTGGATAGCATAGGCAAGTTGGCCGCGGTGAATCCACCCTTGGCGATCCCGCCCAGTCATCGAAGCACTAGGCAGTCAGTATCATAAGCACCCTGAAGTGACACGGAACATACCATGCCCACAATACACCTAGTCCCTGGACGGTTGGAAGCGTAATCCGCCCCTCTTCCTTGTCCAGTAAACGCTTGGCCTCCTCGTAAAAGCGGGCTCCTTTCGAAGCCGCATCTCCCGGTCTCGCATATGCCTCGGGATAATCAGAGTATGCCTGGGACTGTTAGATGAGCCCGGCCAGGATATAGAGAAATCACGTACGCAAGCTTCCGCTAGGATAATGTTGACCAAGAACGGTGAGCAAAATCGAGCCGACAGCGATCCTGCCTGCATGTCCCGCACAAACAATTCCTTATCGATCCAGTTTCGAAACGGATGCGACCATGTGAGCCATAGCGAGATGAGATGGGAAACGAAATCATTATCGGAGACGACGGTCGTCCAAGGTCGAGCGGGGACCTGAAAGCGAGGAATGTCGGATAACCGTTTGGCGTCGAGAATCCGCCGCATGGACCGCGACTCAGACGGCTGGAGTTGCTTCACCTCCTGGCATACTTCGACTAGTTCCGGAGTTTGGGCTAGGTCCAAGCGAGGCAGCTGGTGGTTGATGTAGTAACGGATCTCGTCCAACGAGGCGTCACTGCGGATGAGGTTGATCAAGGGAACAGCGCGACGGTTGCCACTCTCGCGGAGAACGCTGACGAGCCGGACAAGAAGATCCTCCTGGTCGGCGAGCTGATCGATTTTGCGTTTGAGGGCGCCCCGACGACGCTTATCGGCACTCCGGTCGAGGGTACATTCGACTTTGCTCTTGACGCAGTTGGCACAGGGCACGGAACCTGTGCACTGGGGACATCAGTATGGATGTTGGCAATGGAAGCAACTCATGGGGGGGCATGTGCAAAAATTACCTTGAGCTTTCGAGTCTTGCAGGCGGCACAGGCGGTGCCTACATTTTTCCTGCGTTGTTGGGCATCGAGAGCGGCGTTGGCACCCGGCGGGGCGGGAGCCAAAGGGCGCGACTTAGTATCGGCCATGGTGCTCACCCATGGTGGAGGGATGGGGCGAGTTGGGAGGGGAGGACGAACAAGGGGTGATAAAAGAGAGGGGAATGACTGAAGGGGGAAGAGTGGAAGAAGAGGGGGAGGAGAGGAGGGAGAGAAGAGAAGAGGAGAGGGGGAAAAGGACAGACGAAGGGGCGAAGGGAAGCTAGGAGATGATGAAGCATGGGAACCATGATTACCATGATTGAACTTGGAAGGAGGAACAAGTACAGTACCTGGTTCCAATGACTTGCTTGCTAGTTAGTAACCACCACTACTTACTGTATTCCATTAGTAGATACCATACCAAACTGGGTCATTGGGGATTTGCTTCCAGGGCTGGAACTTTTTTGGAGAGAGAAAAAAAAAGAAGGCAGGGAAGAAAAGATAAACTGTGAGTGGTTGGAAGTCACTTCCAGCTCCAGTGGTGGTGGAAGTATCAAGGCTAATTGGTTGCCGGGTATGCACCGACCTTTCCCCGCCCGGAATTACCGTATCAAGACACTGATTGGCGCGGTTTACCAGGTACCTTCCATGGCTTGACTGGTATTCCAATGGTATTTCCAGCACCAGTACACACACTCTCTCCTCTCCTCTACTTACTGTCCCACTGACTACTAACAGTACTTAGTAGTAACTACCGTACTACTAGTCTACCACCACTTGCTATCTACTTACTTACTAGCACTGAGCTAGTCCCTTTGATCCACTCATTTCCCCCCCCCTATCATCTGCCATCTGCCGTCTCTTCTTCTTCTTCTCCCCCCTCCACTCATCTCCCCTACATTCTTCTCACAAGCGTCGCCATTCCCGCTCACCATCCGCACGGTGGCTTGAGTGTCTCCCGGAGGCGAGAACCATTCCAACTCCATTCTAGCTTAGACTGCTCCCTCCCGCAGCATCGCCTTCCCGCCAACCCTGTGCGACCGGAATTCAATTCCTTCGGGTAAGCCGTCCAATACCCTGGTCTATTATAGCATCCTCTTACTAACTCATTTTGTTCGACATGGTTCCCAGTAGACCGTCAGTCAGTCAGTCAGTCCAAGTCCCAACTTCCAATTGCCAGTTCCCAACCCCAACCCCCTCCCGGCCACGTTGTCCCATCGGCCAGCGACAAACAACAATCCACCTCCCCCCGAGCGCTTAGTATCATTGGTGTCCTACAATCCTCTCCTCAACCCTCCCCGAACGTCATCCGGTCACGCGCGGCAATTGATTCCGGTATATATTACAGCTAGCTTGCGATGAGATCGAATCACGATTAATTACACTTTACATATCCTTGCCCCCCGCCGCCACGTCTTGCTTTTCCGGTCGATCCTGTGACTCAACCGATCCCCCATCCATCACGCTGCGATCCCGTTCGTCCTCCCGCCAAAAGTCCTTCTTTCCCCGAACGGCGCGGCGCAGCCACGGCGGGAAGAACCCCCCAGGTATCCTCCACGACCAGGGCTCCTTTTCATCCTTATTGGGGGGCACGATGCGTCCCCGAGTCACTTTCTCGATCGCCCAGATGATACCGTTCAGTGTGATGTAGCTCAAGATACCCGCGATCAACCCGTACGCGATACTGTACGTGAACGGCATGATGGCAATGGTCAGGAAGGCAGGCACCGCGTCGCCAAGGTAGCGCCAGTTGATTTCGGCCGCCGCCTTGACCATCAACGCCCCCACGATCACCAGGGTGCAGCCAGTGGCCCAGGGGGGGATGGAGGCGAAGATCGGGGCGAAGAATACTGCAATGAAGAAGCAGATGCCCGTCATGCAGGAGGTGAGGCCGGTCTTACCGCCTTCGGAGATTCCGGCGCCGCTTTCGACAAATGCTGTGACAGGAGACGTGCCAAAGAGGGATCCGATCGAGACGGAAATGGCGTCCACCATCTGACTAGTCAGTCAAGTTCGGGCAACACACAGGGAAGTCACTTACGTAGGCCAGAGCACTGCCTTCGAAATCCTGCGTGCGAGGATCGACCGTCCCGGCAAATCGCGCCATGGAATACAGCGTACCAGTGGTGTCGAGGATATCCACATACTGCATGGGTTAGCTGCCGTTTTAAGCGAGTGACATCATGCAACCAACCAGGAAGGTAATGAAGGCCAGCCCAAACTGCGACCCGTGCCCCGTGATATCCCAGTCCTGTGCAACCAATGTGTGCTTGATCGGGTGGAAGGTAACGACTTGTTTGAAGAAGTCAAACATGCTATTACCCAGTTCGGTGTGCGGGAAGTACGTCACCGGGGTCGGTCGCGGCCACGAGATGATGGACACCAGCAGGATTCCGATAATGACGGCGCCTTTCACCCGATACAGCATCAGCAGAGCTGTCAGGACTCCACCGCAGAAAATCCCGATCCACATGGTCGGATTGCGCATCTTTGCATCCGACGGACAGAGGCCGGTCGTCGCATCGCGAAGACTATCCACGCAGCCGGCCAGTTCAATAGGCGAGTCCGTGGCGCCTGTTACCAACCCGATTCCCGCACTGTAGGTAAGCCCAATCAACGTAAGATACAGCCCAATGCCCGTGCCGGTTGCCAGCTTGATCGACGCGGGCAGCGCGCGGGCCAACCACTGGCGGATTCCCAGTAGCGTCAAGGCCAGAAAGACCCATCCTTCGACAAAGACGGCAGTCAGAGCCACTCTGTAGGGAATCATGCCAAAGCCGTGGTGTCCGACCACGGTGTAGGCGAAGTATGCATTGAGCCCCATGCCTGGTGCCAGCGCCACGGGCAAGTTCGAGAAGACACCCATAAAGAAGGTGGAGAGGGCAGCAATGGCGGCGGTCGCCGTGACAATATCGCGCTTGACCTCCTGCACGCACAGCAAATATTCGGTGTTGGTGTCGCATTGGTCGGCATAGCTTTCGGGTGGGCAGACGCAGGTTCCGCCCGTGTCGGAGGTAATGGTGGCATTCACGCTAATGATGTAGGCCATGGCGAAAAACGTCGCTAAGCCGGCGCGCATCTCGGTAAAGAAAAAGCTGCCTTTCCGTTCATTAGGCTGCGCAGGATTAGTTCACCGTGTCGCGTGCGCAGCAAGCAAACCTACATGACCCGAGTTTTCCAGACGAAACCACCACCCGACAGGGCTACGAGCCACTGCCAGGTTGACGCGGTGTACCCAGTCAAGATAGCGCATGGTGCTACTACTGTTTGTAGTATGCAAGGTGGGTTGACAGCAGGGAAGAAAAAGGGTCCCCGCGGAAACCCCGGGTTTTATCTGTCAGGGACTTCAGTATGACTGGCAGATAAACCGCAACGAAAAAAATTTACATTAGCGAGCGATAAGCAGCAGGCGTCCGTCATAAATTGACTCAAGCAGTTCCAATCCTTCGCTAGGATTTCTGAACGCGGACAGCTTGGCAGCTTGGCAGAGCCAGTACCGAGAGTCATTCCGTGGATGGTGCCCTTGGCAGCACCAGCACGAGGCAATCACCATCGAGCACCCAGAGGCCCCAGCGGATTCCCACGACTCACAGCGTCCAGTCGCCAAATGCTTATCAGTCAGAACCAGATGCCTGCCTTGGCACCCTTGGCTTTATTTGTCATCACCACGGACTTATCTACAGCTATCTAAGATTGATATGATGGTGAGTGTCTATCTAACGGACTGTGTTCGGACCCTGACTAGGCCGACTTCTCCTGGAACACCGCTGCCGCCGGGGCAAACTTGCTCCTCCGTCGTAGGGCGGGTCCAAACATGATGAACCCCACGGGGATAGGGATCATAATCGCCGCGAGACACCCTAGCAATGTGCCTGCCCACTGCACCCCCAGGTTGACAAACATCTGTCGCGCAAAGAGAGGGAAGCATGCCCCAACTGCAGACCGCAGGATGGTGTTGGCAGCAAAAACAGACGCGGCGCTGTTCGGTCAGAAGCTTTCAACGATTTGCGTCCTGGAAGGCACTCACAATTGCAGATACGAATCAATCAGATAGTTGAAACACTGCAGAAAGATGCAGTAGATGCCGAACCCGGTGAACAGCCCCGACGCCGTCGGGGCCATCCAATGGATCGATCGCGTCCATCCGGTCCAGCCATACCTAATTGTATCAGCCAGGTATTCGCCCAACAGACAGGCGCCTTACCAGAAGAGTCCAATGGTGAAAGAGATGCCCCCGACGATGGCCGGAGGCAACCGCCACTCGGGGATGGGGATGTCGTTATTTGCCCTCAACTTCTTGGTATACGAGCCCTGACTCGACAAGACAAACACTCCTCCCAGAATCTCCCCAATAATTAGCCCAATAAACGGTAAGCTGCCCACCCCAAGATTCATGCCATGAATATCCTGAAACACCACCGGATATGCCGCCAGCAAGGCATACATGAGGCCATAAATGAACGACATGTACAGCGTAACCAGAAATACAATCGGCTCCGTAAACAGCATCCGAAATGGCCGACTAAAATTCACCGTAATCAGTTCCCGAAAATCAATCTCCACCTCATCCTGCTTCGCATGAATTCCCCAATTCCTCGTCTGCCTCCTCACCGTCGCCGCCTTCGCCATCAACAATGCTGGCGCATACGTCTCCTTATAAAACAACAGCAACAGCGCCGACCCGAAAAACCCCATAATCGCGGCAATATACATCGTCCACCTCCACCCCAGATAACTCATGACAATGAAACCTCCCGTAAACGGCGACGCAAACGGCCCCACGAACACCGCCATCGCAAACATCGCGATCGCAATCCCCCGCGTCCGATTATTGTAAATATCCGAAAACGCCGCCGGCACAATCGACAACGGACTCGCCGCGAACAAACCCGCAAAGAACCGGGTCAGCATAATCGTCTGCACATCCTTTGCTGTAGCCGTCGCCACCGTAAAGATACTATACCCAAACACTCCAGCAGTAATGGGCCACCGCCGCCCCGACAGCTCCGACGCGGGCGCCCAGAACGTCGGCCCGGCCGCGAACCCAAGTACATACAGCGTGACGCCGAGCGTCGCGACCTCGGTACTGATCCCGTAGTGTATACTAACCGCCCCGACAGTCGAGGAAAAGATCGCACTAGCGAAAGACGCAGTAAACGTCACGTAGGCTAGGATACCTGAAAGGAGAATCCTAGATCATCACCGCCAATACCCCCATTAGCCCTTCTTCCTCACACAGACACACATGCGCCCAACCAAGCAAATATACTGTACATAGAAAAATACATACTTCGTCCCAAGGGGCCAATTATGCGGATGCATCGGATCCTCCTCACCCGTAAACTCGACCACATAGCGATCCGGATCCGGTAGTAACGGGGGAAACTCTTTCCCCCCGCCCATAGGTAACCATTCATCCCGGGGTGTCTGAGGCGCCTTTGACCCGACGGTGGATTCGTGCGTCAGACGAAGTGTCTCGATGCGCGAGACTTCGATGTTGGTTTGCGGCCGGCTTAGGGTTGGGGTGCGGCTCGGGTGGGCGGTTGGGATGGTGGATAGGGAGGAGGTGCTTGAGGGGGAGGGGGATGGTGATGGGGAGGGCATTTTGGGGGTGGTAATTGAGGGAGGTGGAGGGTTTTGTGTAAAATTGGCATTGTAGCTGGTGGAGGGGTGTATTTATTGTTTTGGTGGTGTAGAGTGATGGTGTCATGGGGAGTGCGATCCATGGTTGGATGGGTAGGGTTCGGTGGGCGGCGGATAGGTTGTTAGCAGGGTAGATGGGTTGCTTGGATGATGTAGATAAAGGAACGTATAGAGCTGGGAGGGTCTGAGTTTGGGGGTGGAGGGATGAGGTGAGATGCTTCGGAGTTCTTTGTCCTTGTTTAGAGGAGATGTGTAGTTGTTAGGGGTGTGGTATGTGAGGTGATGTTGTGAAGGGGGATGTCATGGGTTTCTCTGATGTACACCATAGCTTCGTTTTGTTTTGGAGGGGAGTGATAAGCTTTCTGCTAATATTGACTGAGCTATTGATTCACTCGTATAGCCGGGGCATTGTATTTTGTAGGGAAGAACGTTTGGAGTCGGAATTCGGCAATGATTATGAGTCCATGTGTTGAGGATTGAAATCATAATTGAACCACCGTGTAGTACAGAGATCAACTGCCCCGTGGACAGTCGGATCAATGTGTTACACTACCATGTGAAGCCCCGGATCTGGTTCCCGATGACAGCCTCGGTAGACGCAGATCTACGATCGGCTGCTCGCAACGGCTACCCTTTCGGTCTGCGATCTACATGTTGTACAAAAAGTAAGTAAGGGACAGTATTACAACTGCATATAAGGACGACTAGATTCTACTTTTTCTTCCAGGCACACCAACATCCACGCACCATGTCTGCCAAATTGATCCTTCCCGCCCTCAGTCTCTTCACCCTCTATGCCATTTGGTACTATGCCGACGCCAATGGCCTTCTCGAACTAGCAAGGCAAAGCATCGAGCGCAAAACACTCCCAGGCAGCGATGCGCCTCTACGAACCGTCTACACCGGTCTCCCTCGACTGGACCACCTGCTTACCACCTTGACTACCTTTTTCTGGCCTACCACCGATGGAAGCCACCCCGCCTTGACTCTCCATACGCTCGGATTCGCAGGGACATTCGGTTCCGCCTGGATCCTAATAACCCTAGAATCATGGCGACAAGGGAATGCTTGGACCCTGGCAGCATAGTAAGTTCACAACAATGTACCCAAGTGCATCAAGCTAACCTCACCACCAGTCCCTTAATATTTGGCCTCTCCGCCCAAACCCTAACCTTCGCCTTCGCAGCCCCTCTCTACTGCGCCCTGCAACTCACTACTTCCACAACCTCCACCTCTCCCACAGCAACCAACATCCACATCCCCAAGACCATTCTCACCACCCTCCCCCTAGTTTTCACCGTCTCCTACATCATCCCCAGCGCCTTAATGGTCCTCCCCATCTCCTCAACCATAACAACCGACCTAAAACAACTCTTCATCGCCCTCTGGCAACCCTTCCCAGCATACATCTCCATCCTTCTCACCCTCTCCCACACCCTATTCTCCCCATTCACATCGACCCCTAAACCCACCCAGAAGAACCACAACCTCTCCTCCCTCCGATTCATCTACGCCTTTGCCTTCTTCAACACCCTAATCCCCCACCTCGTCACCCTCACCGTCTCGCTATCTACCATTCTCGCACCTGCTATCCTCTCCCCAAAATACAGGACCTCCTTGCACCCCAGTATTGTCTTCGGGATTCCCACGCCCTGGACATCGCCTGTTATACAGGTGGCTAGTGTTGGAGACGGGGTGCATGCGTTCCTGAGGTGGGATTACTTGATTGGGTCGGCGGGGATGGTGGTTTGGGCGTGGAGGTTGTATGGGAATGCAGTGAGGATAGATAAAGGTGGTGCAATGGGGTGGTGTGAGTGGGTGTCGTTGGTGGTGAGGGTCGGGTTGTTGGGGATTGTTGCTGGGCCGGTGGGGGCGGCGGTGGTGTTGGTTTGGGGGAGGGATGAGATGGTTTTCGGGAGGGGGGAAAAGGGGGGTGAGAAGGCGAGGTAGAGACAGGGATATTGAGACATGTGTCGATCTATTTGTTGGTATTTGTCTGAGTACATAGCCACATGCGGTTGTTGTCATGACGTGGTCAGCTTGTGGGTTTGTCACCATACTATATCGGTGATAATGACACCAGGGTAATTCAGGGTTATGTACTTGGAAGAACCATACCAGTGAGAGACTAGCATGCATGCGTGTAAATATAGAACCGGGATCTCCATGAGAGTACTAGTATACCTTTTGTAGAAAACATGTTGGACCGTGTAGGGGTAGATAATTGGTGAAATGGTCAAAAGAGTCGGCTGGCTGCAGACAACGCCCACAAGCGTTGAATATCTTTCACCTTCCAACCACAATGATTGACATGGCTGCTTTCAAACTGGACTATTCAATTCCTGACTCTGTCATTCCAAATGAATGTGTTGTAGACATGTAATGCATGTGCGCATAAGTGGATTATGGCAGCAATGTTTGACATTATACCCAAAGAGGGATAGTCTGCTACCCCGCTCCGATAGCAGCTCCCTCCCACCGCCTGCCAAGAACAGGTAACCGCTTATCGATAAGCGCAGGTACCGCAGCGGGTAAGCGACGGCCAACACAACAAATCCAAACTAGTTTCCAACTAGTTCCGCTGCTTTGCTTTGCTTTGCTTCTCCTCGTTTCGCACGACGACACTTGCCCATTCCTTTGGAGTCTTCACCACCTACCTATCATTAACGTCCCTCCCTCGTCTTGAGTGAATGTTAGTCGACCCATCCATCCTTATCTTTCGGGATACGCAGCCACCCACCCATGGTGGTCTCCGCAAATCCCTCGACAGTATTCCTTAGCGACAGTGTCCCATTCGAGAAAAAAGAAAACAGACGATCCTGCTCCTTCGACATAAAACCATATCCCAATCGAACAATATGCTTGGTGATGCCGAGATCCACGCTCTAGATAGCAATCTATCAAGCATTGTGCAGCAGAACCAGCAACACCATGCCGATGTACAGAACCTCCTGGATAAGTTCCGCCAGCTCTTAGACAACTACAACAACCTTAAGAGTGACTATGAGGAGGAGAAAGAGGCTAGAGAGAAGTACAAGCGGATGGCTAGGGGTCAGGTACGCAGAATGATCCGTCAGTATGTACATTGTCCAGCTCTGACGGTGACTTAGGAGCGGAATCCTTTCGTGCTGGTCCTCGTTGATGGAGATGGCTATCTCGTAGGTACATCTGGATCCTTAGAAGAGATCATACTGATCAACTCCGCGGTAGTTCAAAGAGCATCTGCTAAAAGCCGGAGCCGATGGTGGCATTACGGCTGCCCGTATTCTTAACGATTCCATCCGCGAACTGCTCCATGATCGACTAGGCCATCAGGCTGACCAGTGCCGTGTGATGGTACGCATTTATGCAAACGTGCTTGGATTGTCAAAGTCATTGGCCCGCTCCGGGATTGTGGGACAGGAAGCCCGCTCTCTATCGCCTTTTACAGCAAGCTTCACCCGGGCTGAGGATCTTTTTGATTTCGTGGATGCGGGAGATAAGAAAGAGGGTGCGGACTATAAGATTAGGGGTATGAATAGCTCTATATTTTGGAAGGGCTCGAGCTAACGTCAGTAGAAATGTTCCGCTTATTTGCCGACAACAGCCAGTGCAGACACATCTTCTTCGCTGGTTGTCACGACTCCGGGTATTCTAATCTACTGACACCTTATCGTGGCCGGACTGATCGCATCACCCTCCTCAAAGCTGCCAACTTTCACAGCGAATATGAAAGATTAGGCCTCCCGGTGCGAGAGCTTCCCGCCCTCTTCATGTCTACACCTATTGGTGGAACTGGGAGTCCCTCCAACCATACGCCTTCGATGTCCACAACCTCTAGACCGATTTGCAAACATTTCCAAAAGGTGCGTGGAAATGCATTGCCATACTTTGCATTTCAACTAATGTTCTTCAGGGCATTTGCCGATACGGCAGCTCCTGCAACAAGGCCCACATACCGCAGGGTCAACAACTCTCTAGATCCGACAATACCCCCTCTCCTCCAGGAAGGGAATCTCCTACGAGTGCTCGCACTCAAGAGTTTTATGCCTCACAACTTGTCACCCACCTCGATCCTAAGTGGCAAGATTATATCCCGATAAACTTGGCCGGAGATCGCATTGACACCTACTGTCCGATCCCCGGCCACGACGCCTGGGAACTCTATACCCGTCGCGCCAAAATCCATAAGCCATGCAATAATTTCCATCTTGGCGGCGAGTGCAGCAATATTGGCTGTGAATACGACCACGGCCGTCTTGATCCAAGCTCGCTGGACGTTATGAAATACATACTCCGTCAGCATCCATGTCAGACGGGCCCTTCATGCCGATCCACTAAGTGCTTCCTCGGCCATCTCTGCCAGAAGGACGGATGCCGAGGCCTCAAGCCGTGCCGCTTTAATCGTCACGCACACACACTTGATTTGCATATTGCAGAATACACGCCGTCCATCAAAAGGGACACTGGTCACTCGCGTGCTCCAAGCGCCGAGGGGGCATATCTCCCAGATACTCCCGAAGAGCCGCAGGGCCTCATTGTATTGTGAACGTCCAGTAGGACTATATTCAAGGCCAACACATACTATTATGTTGTCTTATATTAAGGCAGACCGACTTGTTGGTAGGGTCGGGTCTTAACAATTGGTTATCAATTTTTAGAGAAGAAGATGTAATAGGAAGGAGCCACATCGGAAGGGAGGGAGGAAGCAAGCAAATCGTTTGGATTCTGAAAACACGATACAGGTTAAGGCTATCACTTAACCAGGCGCAAAGCGCACAATAGTTACTGACGAGGATGACTGAATTTATATGAAAGTATTTCCGCCTCTTTCGTAGCACACATCTCATCTAGGACATACCTGTGACCGGATAATTCCATTCAATGCTGGTGAGACCCATCCAAGTCTCGGTTTATTCCTCTCCATGAGACGAGCCGCCAGCAGATCGGTAGATAGCGACAGCAACATGAGGGAACAACCGATGCCAGGATGGCAACTGCGATCCACCAAAGGTAGCAAAAAGTAGTATATAAATCTCAATGACAGGTACATCCACTGCTGTCCTCTCCACCATCAGTCACGACAACATCCTTCCAATTGATCTATCTGTTCTCAATCACACCAGAATTACAGTAACTCTAAACCAAATAAGAAAGATAAGAAAGATTAAAAAAAAAATCAATTCCAAGCTCAGCAATCATGAGTCATCAGGGGAATCCTGTTAACCCTCACTGCATTTTCTGCAACCAGGGACACCCTGAGCCCGCCGGGGATGCTATCTACGAGCACATCGAACAGCACCTCGATGACCTGAACAGACGTTTCAGGGAGAAAAGAGCCGACAACGAGGAAAATTCTACGATCATTGACTGCCAAGACTGGCCTGGTTGCCGTCACAGGCCTCTGACCTCAGTAGAGGGGGATGCCCATGCTTTTCATTGGGTATTCGTGGAGATGGCACGTTTGAAGAGGCAGGATCCCGATGAAGAATATATCTCTTGCGATTTATGCGGCACCCGTCATCCCACCTTGGCCAGAGAAGATCTGGAAAATCACATCCGCGACTTCCATAACTTATTGTTCAATAATCCCATGGTGGCGCACCCTTCGCCATCTGAATTGTCTGAACTTCCACCGTCGGCGATGACTGGCTCCGAAGCCATGGAGCTTGACGCGGCAGAGGAGGATCAGGATGGCGACTTTGAAATTGATGATGATGAAACGGAGGAGGTTAGAGCCCAGGGGTCCAGAGAGGAGGTCGCCGCCGAAGCCCAGTACGACTCTGAAGAGGAAGAACCCAAAGACCTACCTCATGACCTCAGACCAGTCATCAGGAGTCTTGAGCAAGCCCTTTCGAATAACATCATGAATATCAACAACTTCCTTCAGGTTATATGCAATATATGCCGTGATCATCGCTTTCCCGTCGAACACCTTCCCCAGCTTGAGATCCATAATGCTCTCCGAGCTAGACTTGCTCCGCTTGTACATCAATTGATGTACATACCCGGGGTCTCCCCACCCCTTCGAGTGTCCCCCCACCATATTTCGTTGAGACTCCGTGGGTCCACCATTGGCGAAGCCCTCCTTGCAAAGAAGGTCAGGCCGATCCGGGTTCTCTGTGATCTAGGGTTCCCCATTAACGTTGTTATGGAGAGCAACTTGACCGTGCTGGGTGCAGCCATCCTACTCCGGCATAACAAACTCGCCCAATACCTCCTGAACCCTGAAATCAAGGAAAAGTACGGCGTCGACCCTTTCGCTGGCGTGACTACGGACAATAGATATGGCAACGGCTTCACTCCGATTGCTCTATGCGTGTGGAGACGCGAACACAACACCCTAAGGACCATCCTCAGCTACGAGACGCCCCCTCACGTCATGCGAACCGAGGAGGTAAACCGGCTCTTCCGCTCGCAGACCTGGGCAAATATTAGCAGAACACTGGGCGACCCATACTTCAGAGACGCCATCTTCGCCCCACGCAACCCTCCCATCTCCCCGATCCACTCCGCCGCTGTCAACAGTGACACCGAAGTTCTGCGACGCCTCGTCCAGTACGAGAGTTGTCGCGGGGGCCGAATTCCTAATCTATCCTCTTACATCAACTCCGAGAGCAGCGCCATAGCCGCTAACACAACTCCTCTCCTTGTCGCCATGCACTACCGCAATGAAGACGCCACGTATGATCTCCTCGCAAGTCCCGACATCGACCTCTCAAAGCAAACCTCCCGCATGGTCACTCCCCTATATTACGCTGCCCGCGTAGTCAATATCGAACTAGTTCAGGCCCTGATAGACCAAGGTGCTGATCCGAAACAGGTTACAGGCCTGGGCACGCCTATTCATGCACTGGTGCATAATTATAAGGATGCCAAGGCAGACGAAGTGGATTTGCGAAATCCCCGGGCGTTCGAGACCCGCAAACAGCAGATTGGCGAGCTTCTGAATCTGTTCTTGGATGAAGGCG